CAAGCGTCTTATTTCACTACCATCCTCCCTGTAGTCTGTTCCATGAGTCACCACACTTCCATCCTCTGCCCGCCCTCATCTTCCAAGCTCATAACCTGTCCCCACATACCTGTGTGAATGAAGTGAGAGCCACGTCTGGGTCCCCAGTCTTTACCATTCTACTAACTTTTGTTGAACACCTACTGTACGCTGAAAGGAATTCTCTTGAATTACCTAGTGCTTCGTCTGATGAACTCCAGTTGGAGAACGGGAAGTACATTCGACTCATTTTAGTACCACATTGACCTTATCAGAACAGGACATTGGGTCTTCAGGAAATTTTAAACTTTTGAACACTATATTACAATATACTTTATAAATCATTGATTTATCCAATTGTTGCCTAAATAGTTATAGACCAAGGGACAACATGAGCACTGAAGTATAAAATCTAGATTAAGGATGCCCATTGTGTATAGGGCTGGGCAAAGGGAAAAGACGGACCTGGGAGCTGGTTGAGAAGTGGTGGGACTAGTGTATCAAAGGCATCTCTGAGAGTGATCAAGATGGGCCGAAGAGCATTATGATTGGACTGAAAGAAAAAAAACAAAAAACCAAGAATGAATATAAATAGAAAAAGTATGGAGACTCCACAACATAGTCCTGCCAACAAAGGAGAGGCCAGAGTTCCATTCCAACAATAGCTTTCAGGCTCTGTTCTGGCAAAAGATATGTGGCTGGACCTGGTGGGCCTCACAGACACGTGTTACCTTCTGTGCTGGACACAGGAGAGGCAAGTGGTAAGCCTCCCCTAAGACAGATCTATCTTCATCATTGCCTGTAACCTGAACTTGGAGAATCTGCTAGCCAGGCAGCTGGTGCAGGGAGGCCTGAGGGTGCTGCTTGGTGTAGCACAGAGCAAGTGGCTGAGCAGCTAAGGTGCTAATCGCTCATCAGATAGGCTGGAGAAGATGCTGAATGTCACCAAGACAGCACTGCTGCAGCCAACCAGTGCGTGAAAAAGCACGTGGTAGAGAGGTGCCACCTGGAGTCTTGTTTCTTCTCTCCACATAAAGAGGTCTTTCTTCTGCTCCCAAGACGATTCACAAGATGTTTTGATTATCACAGGGCTTGAATTTCGTAGTTTCCAGGACAGAAGCTCTGGAGTTTCAAGGACGAACTTCTGGAGTGATTAATGCTGAGCACTAATGTACAGAGAGCCCCTATGTCCAGGGCAAACTTTGTGCAGGAGGAGGAGGCATGGATCTCCACCTGGAGGGTTGACCCAGGGTAGTGGGGTCTGGGCCTGGCTGGACCCTGCTCTTCTACCCCCAGATGCACATTTGCTTATTCATGTTTCATGCAACACCCCTTTAATGATCATCTCCACTTAAGGCGACTCAGGTGAAAGAAACATCAAGTGGACCACTGCTTTTTTGCTTTGCTTTTAAATTATATAGTTAAAACATAAATAGAAAACATGTTCATCATGGCAAATGCACCAAAGAGAGAACAATATTTATTCTACTCTCACTAGATTTAGTCTCTATATTATGTAATCAGGATCAGCGTATTCATCAACTCCCTTCCCAAACATGATATCCAATGTCTTAATCTAACATGTTGATACTAGATAATTTACATAGGCAATCCTGTATTATTGGATGCTGAAACTGTTTCCTAGTTTGATGGACATAGTAATGCTTTAGCGTTCTGTGAATACTGCCTTGTTTATGTTCTCAGTGATATTACTCATGAAAAACAATAAAGCCACATGTGTTTCTTTAAGATAACAGAAGGTTCTAGGCAGGGGAGGGAGGAGTCTTGCAGGGTCTAGTCTCTTCGGAATGGTTTCCAATACTGTATCTGACACTAAGCAACTTTTCTCTACCTGAAATCCTGCCTCTGATGATCTGAGCTTGGTGAGTAGATAACTCCATTAAAAATCCTGGACAGTGTGTTCTTTTGTTGTATATTTTCCACAAAGCTATGTTGGGAATTAAGGAAATAAGGTGAGGGTGTCAGGAAAGGGTGAAATTTTTTAGAGCACAGGCTGGAGCCTGCCCACTGGTATGTTATTTCAGGGTGGGGGTGGGGTGATCTCATCTACCGGCAATCTTTACTTTAGCATTTGTACAAGGTGAGAGTTGAAATTCCTCAGGTCAGAGGGTGAACTTTGCTGGTGGGCAGATGGTGCCTGAGAACCAATGGAGATTTTTAAAAGGCTTGTCCCACATTCTTAAATGTACGCCAGTTCTCTAAATTTCCTAAGTGTGTCTTTGCAGCCAAGACGTCACTAGGCCTGACATGCGGTGTCCTGCCCTTGGAGGTGAACTGTTTTAACTAATGAGATGCTGTCCCACTCACCTGTGGAAAGTCAGGAATGGTGCGTATGGCTATTTCATATTATTTAGGGTAGAGGCTCCCTTTGTCACCAAGAGGGTAAGCAGTAGGGAGTCAACCAAATAGTTGGGGACAAAGGAAACAGGGTGTTGGACTTTGAGTGCGGCGGGTAAAGAGCTCGTTTGAAGAACATGGCCATCAAAGCAGGAATGGCTGGTGATGATGAGTCCGAAGAGAAGGCTGACATCACTGCATACCTGGCAAACAGAAACACAGACTCCAAAGTCAGGGCAAGTTGTAAGACAGCAAGACATTCTTACAAAAGAGCTGGGTGCCTTGAGGACAAGGAGGGAGGGGGGTGATGAGCTATGGGGAAAAGTGAGGGGGAAGGTGGATTTTGCTTGCCCGTCTTCTTGCCACTCTATTTTATACAGAGATGAGGGACAGGTGCTTCCTTTTGTAGGGTTTCCTCCAGCAACCTGGAGTT